AAGAGATGGAGCCCCAATAGAGATAGAGGTATGACATGCATATGTACTTAAAAATTTCCTTTTCTATTTAATTTTCTCTTTTTTACTTAATTTGGCTAACAAAGGGTATATGCTTTCTGTAGGTGTCATGGTAACAAAGGCCATGACGTCTGTTACCAAGGAAATTAGCCGGCAATTCCTTATCAACAAAGTCCTCCCTGCAATAAAGGAAAAATGGCCAGCCAAAGAAAGTGGAATGCCAATATTCATCCAGCAGGACAATGCCAGGACTCACGTTGCTGTAAATGATCCAGCATTTGTAGAAGCTGCCCAAGCAGATGGGTGGGACATACGGCTAACATGCCAGCCACCAAACTCACCCGATCTTAATGTGTTGGACCTTGGTTTCTTTGCAGCAATTCAAGCGTTGTTTTACAAGGGAACTCCAAACAACATCGAAAAAATTGTGGAAAAGGTTGACAAGGCATTTCGCGAGTACCCTGTGGATAGGTCCAATCGGATTTTCCTAACACAACAGAGTTGCATGATGGAGATCATGAAGCAAAATGGAGGACAATATTACAACATCCCGCACATGAAGAAGAAGCACTTGGAGATGACAGGCAACCTTCCAATTAGCTATGAGTGTCCGATGGAAATTTACAATCAAGCATTATGATTCGTTGGTTAAACTTGCTTCTTTTGCCATGATGTTTAGAGTATCTTTTGCATGGGTAGCGTCTGTTTACTTCTTTCCTGTTAATCTTAAGCTAGTCATGATGTTTAGACGATGCATGTTTAGAGGGACTTTTGAAATGAATGCATGAAGAAATAGATAGACATAAGCACTTCTAGGTAGCATCAGCGTTACATGCACTCTTACTACTGCTCGGTTACATTGAATCAAAAACAACTACTCTTGCTGTTCGCCTACACTGGTTGAATCTTGAATATCAGCATCACTCTCGGCCATCCGTATGTGTGCAGGGAGCAATACAGTATCGCCATCCATCTCTAGATCGTCGATGTTAGGGAAAAGTACCTTGCAGTCAAACTCGTTGAAGCCATAGATCCATGATGTGATCTCATACTCACTGTGTATGAGACCACAGCGAGAGCATGGAATCCTGATGCCGTGACGGATTCGCCACTCCTCACGATCGATGGTAACGAGCTCGCTCTCGTCCTCGGAGTCCGGCGCCCAGTTGAGACCACGAATGAGCACCGGCGAAGCGACCGCGCCCTTTGCCGGGCGAGGCGGCCGCGCGCCTTTTTGCGGGCGAAGCGGCTGCGTCCTTTGCCCGCGAGGTGGCGAACCCTTTGCGGCAAGGTGGCGAACCCTTTTCAAATGAGGTGGCGGCGAGGTTTCGCGTCCATGGCGGTGCTTCTCTTCGTGGCTGAGTACGCAAGCGGGAGGGATAAAATAGGAAGTGCAGTTGGGAAGGGAGAGCAACTTGCATGCATGCATGCAACTGATACTGGAAGCGAGGCGTCGCAGTTACTACGCGTGAGAGTACAGGACGTGAGCGCTGGCTCCCGATGCACCCAACGGCTTAGGCGCCGGTGAATTCACAAACCTTTTCCCAAGCCAATACGCCTCTGAATGAAGGACGGAGGGAGTAACTTCCAAAATATCAAAATTGTGGCCCCACACTCTTTTTTTTTTTGCGGTTTTTATTTTTTCCGTCGCAAGGTCGCGACCCTCGTTGCATCTAGGTAGCCGCCGCTTCCCTTCACGGTCGTGCCGATCACCAGCCCACAGTAACCGGCGGCAGCCAGCCAGGCTCCCTTCTCCCCGCAGGTACATCCCAGCCGGCCGCCAGGCACTGCACAGTATCATGCAGCAGGCAAGTACTCCAATGCAAACAAAGCTGCTTGCTGCCAGCCCTCAACACAAGCTAGCAGCAGACGAAGGAACACAGTACCATGCAAACACAGTTCAGCTAGGCTTATACGGTGGTGGATTATAAGCTGGAACAATATTTTTCTCTTACACCAAACCAGTCCGTAGTAAATAATCCACGATCATTTCAGCCGAAACGAATAGGCTGACAGGCCTAGATGCGACGAGGGTCACGACCTAGATTAATTCCAAACCAAATAACACAGGTCATGAGAATTTACGCAGAAAGATCCACGGCAGAGCATCGTCATGCGCCTGGCGGCCGTGATCACGTACCGTCGCGTGCGCGCCCCTGTTCGCACAAGCACGAGGCCGGCAAGGGCTTCGCCGTCGCCGTCGTGAACGACGCGAGCGCTCCAGGCCGCGATTCGACCTGCTCTTCGTGTAGCCCAACACAGCATAGCCCAACACCCTGTAGGCCGCCATGAAGGCCACCATGACGCCGATGTTGCGCCAACTGCACTCTTCCCCGAGCCCCTCGCGCCGCAGAGCACCCGTCCCCAGTCGTCACGCACTCGCCTAGCGCGCGTATCACCAGCAGGAAGAGAGCAGCGTCTCGCGCACGGGAAGAGGCCAGCGAGGATCTCAAGCAGGGTGGACTTGCCGGCGGCGCAGATCCGCTCCCCTGACGGAACCTCGGCGATGGCGTGAAGGAAACTCACGCGGGAAGTAGTCGCCGGAAGGAGGAGATGCCGCGGGGAAGTTCGGATGCGCGAGACTACCATGCACGTATTTTTACGCGTGGAGGGGAAAGATTTGCCAAGTGCTCAAAGATGGGGAAACGATATGGGCCGGGTACTTTTGGAGATGAGTTTTTTTTTTTTAAAAAAAATATGGATGGGGAAGAGATATGAGAAGCTCTTGGAGAATCTCTTAGATATCATATCTGTACTAGTATCATTTTTGCTCGTTGGAAATAATTTCCAGATTTCAAAACGTGTATATGCAAGGATGGAGCCACGCACAACCCCCATCGAGGACACAGTCCCGCTCAAACCTTCCGTTCTGGTTCTAGTAGCCGCAGAGGCTCAGTAGTTAGCACACTCGCAAAGGAAGAGGACGAGAGGAATATGTCAACGAATGCCGATTCCGGCCTCTCGCACAAACCTTACATGTCGGCATGTCGCGTAGCAAATAGTTGCACTTATAAAGCACCAACGAATTGAACGAAGTTGAACCCAAACCAAGTGAACACAAACGAGTGTCGCTTTCTCCCCAGCGCACCGCAGCGGCACGCCAGCACATGGCACGTAAAGTCTGTGAAATAGTAAAAAATTATTGGCCTGTCTCACGAACACGGAACATATACTCAGGTGCTTAGAAATTTCCTTCGAGGTGCTTAGAATCGATCTCCAAAGAATATATGTTTTCTTAGAGTTCATTAGCACTGCTAAGAATGTTTCATTTTAGCACTCAAGGAAATTCTCAGCCCCAAATGATTCCATATCCTGGTAGTGATTCAGGTTCGCCTTAGGCTCCGTTCGGTTAGAGGGAATCCGGCCGTGGAACCGTTCCAGCCATTGAAAGCTTATATAAATTTTGGTAAGAAATCCGGCCACGAATTATTCCTCGGGTTCTTTCACCCGGAAGCGAACGGGGCCTAAGGCAGCGCGACCAGACCCAAGTCTGAACCGTTGCTTACCGTCGACGGTTCCGACGCGCCCGTGCATGCATCGCGCATCCGTCGTGTTGTAGATCCTCCGTCTCCCTCTTTCTGCCGCGCGCGCTTTCGCAGTACAGCGGTCAAGGAAACTTCTCGGAAAGACGAACTCGTGGAAAAAGGAGGCAGCAAGCCAGCAGCAACTGCGTAAGCTGCAGTTCTAGTGCTGCCACCAGCTACCGAATCCGACGGCGACCGAGCTGAGTATATCCTGCTCCGCCTATCTTTCCTCTTTTCGTCCCGTTTGGGCCTTCCAGGCACACGGCCCTTTTTCTAGATGAGATGAAAAAATTGTTGCCTTCGTATCTAGCTTCTGTTCAGTTTTTGGTACTGAAGTTTAGATTGTATAATAATCTGGTACGCTGAGAAACCACTAGTGCATACATAAAACGTTTTTACTAGTGGTAGATTTTTTATTTTTACTAGCAGATGTCAGAACCAAATGCTAGTGAAAATAGAACCGAGACTCTATACAAACACATCGACATTAGTGGGGATAGTCTTATACGAATCGTCAATATAAATACATACTCCATCCATCCTAAAATAAGTGTACTTTTAAGATGAAGAGGAGAAACCAATGCTACTACAAAATCATGTATATACCCATATAAAAAGTATAGCAACATGTAATAATTGCACATTAGTAATGGAGAAAGTAGCAAAAGTACTAGTGCTAGGTGGTTTATGGTCTAAAGTGCACTTTATTGTGGGACAAAATTTGAATGCTAGAAGTACGTTTATTGTAGACAATATTTAACCCATACAGATTGCGCTATGAACGGATAATATCATTCTAAAATTACCAAACCAAACGCTACCTAAGTCTAAAGGTACATAAAGGCAAATAAATTGTGATCCTTATGGACGTCCTAAACATACAAGGCAAATAATTCAAATTCTAAGAGAAGTATAGTGAAGTACTGCCTTTGTCAGAAAAAAATATAACTATGTGTTACCTACCAGTTAAAATGATTCACGTTTAAGTAAGTTTCTAGCGAATGATATTCATTTATGACTCCAAATTTGGTAACTAATCTACTAATATTTATTTGATATTATAAATATTAATATTATTTATTTATAATTAGTTAAATTTAAGATACTAAAACATGATTCTATAATTACATTATTTTAGTACTAACATTTCGCATGAACAAAATCGCAAAAAAAAATTCACAAAAACACGAGTTTTTTTTTTGACACCTCATACAGCCACAGTATCTGTACTGACTAACACCAACTCTCCACGCGCACACCACACACTCACACCACGACAAGAACACGGGTTTAACGACCAATCGACCAGCCAGTGCTAGACGGCAGACGCCTGACACGGCTGGATCCCTCATCCCAATGCCCTAGAACCTAAAAAACCACCACCTCCTCCGAGCGTCATCCTCCGCCGCGACATTTAAACCTTCTCTCCCGGCCGCCGCCGCCGACTCCTCATCCCCAATGCTCTCCTCCTCCACCACCGCTCACTCGGCCGCCTCGCCCCTCCCCGGCCCCGCCTCCGCAAACCCTAAGCCCCGCTTGCGCCTGCTCCGCCTCCGCGCCGCATCGCCCGTGCCGTCCGCGGCCTTGAGCGCGCGCGGTCGCCCGCCGATGTGTACGGTCAGGGCCTCGTCCGCCGCTGGGGCGGGCGGCTGGGGAGCGGAGGCAGTGGGAGAGTTGGCGACGGAGCGGCTGGTGGAGGTGGCGCAGCGCGCGGCGGACGCGGCCGGGGAGGTGCTCAGGAAGTACTTCCGCCAGCGGGTTGAGATCATCGACAAGGAGGACCACAGTGCGTGCTATGCTTCTCTCTATTTCCGCACCACACTTGTAATTTCATTTTGCTTCCGGCTTGGGTATAGCGTCTAGGTGATAGTGTGCTGGTTCTTGAGTCGGATCGTGCCCTGTTCTCTCTGCATGTTGTAGATTAATTATTTTAGTATCAAGTTTCTGTTGCAAGGAATGCTGCAGCGGCCAGTGCAGGAGCATACTTTGTTTGAAATTCTATGATATTTAGGTGGGGCTCATAGTTTGGATACTGACTGATTGAATTAGGAAATCACATAGCACTCCAAATTTAGCTGAAGGGTGGTCTGTCTGTTAATATTTTGGACTGTAATGGAATCACTTGAAACTGTAAAGTAACAGGCTGATAGTCCTAGTGACGTCCTGCACTGCAGTAGGACCTATGCATATCATTTCCAAAGAAAGAAGTGTGTAGGCTATAAGTTAAGTTCAGGTTGCGGTGGTCAATAGAAGTGGAGATAAACTAACCATTTTTTTTTTGGTAAGGAATTATTCAATTCGTTATCTGTGCTCTTGATGGGAGCCTCCTTCGTCCTTCCTATGGTTCTGCTCACGTCCTGGTTGGAAAATTCAAGGATTCTAAACCCTTTCTGTGTATATCCTTGTATAGGTATGTTTTTACCTTGAGTCCAGAGAATCATTAGGATTTGACTTGTGAACAAGGTTGACTATATATAATTGTACAACTGCCTTTGACAGTAACTCATTCTGCACAACCTTGTCCGGACAAGTCAATCTTGGCAATTAACTTAGTTGGGTTAGGTAGGTTGAGATGGGGAATCTGTATTCATCCGCACATTGAAAGTTCTGGGACCTAATCTGTTACTATTAGGTCCTAGAACGTCGGCCTTAGTTCATTTTCCCTAATTCATGTACATGTGTATTCCAGCCAATTGATTCATTCGAACCCAACTCCTTCCCTTGCCTTTAGTTTTGCACTGCTTCAGAATCCTTCATGTTCACAGCTCATGTGCGCTTGTGGTATTGTGCCCCATCGTTCCCATATAAAGTGCCAATTGAAACCTACTGATTTATCATCCATCATTTTGTGGACCATGCCACAACCACACACACATATATCTCGGCAAAAATCTTTTTTCCCCATTTTTCTACCTTTATGTCTAGCACCAATGACCTGAGTTGTAACACTGGAGTATTGGACCCAATTAGGCACAATATGTATTGGCACTATGCATTTTCAGCAAGATAGTTTCATCTGGTATAACTTATTCCAAATTCAACATAGAAGCTGTTTTTTAGATATTGTATCTAATACCTTTGTGCATCATTGTACCTTGGACGTTTGTGGTCAAACCATAGGACGAGCACGATGGCATCAATAGACAATAGGTACCATCTCATAGTGCTAGCGATGTGGTTTGTAGTGACTTGGTAGCTAGAAGAAAATCAACCCTTAGTTTAACTTACAACTTTCTAATAATTATTTATCATACATAAAGCTCATGACTGATAGACTTGTCATGTGAAGTGTTCACACCAATATTGAAGTTCTTTAACTACTCTTGTTCAATTTGATCAACATAACAATGTTTTAATAAATTGGGCTGACTTCAGGATGTATAGGAACCCACTTTCCATATGTGATTATTGGATAAAAGGATACTTGCACTGGGGCACTAGAATATGTTATTTAATTATATTTGGTGGTCTTGTGCCTTTTTTTGAACTTATGGAATTGTTCAATACGGGCTAGGTCCTGTCACAATTGCAGATAGAGAAGCAGAAGAAGCAATGGTGTCAGTTATACTGAAGAGCTTCCCTACTCATGCCATGAGGGATTGTTTTGCTAGTTTTTAAAATGTTCTGTTCACTTTAATGGCACCTTGAACATTCATTTCCAACATTTATTTGAATCATGCAGTTTTGGTGAGGAGAATGGTTGGAGATGTGCGGAGAGTTCTGCAGATTATGTTTGGGTTTTGGACCCAATAGATGGAACGAAAAGTTTCATAACTGGTAGTGGATCTTTGATCGCATTATGAGTTTATGACTGAGAAGATTAAGCCGAACTTAATTATAATGACTTCTAATTCGTTGTTTGTAGGCAAGGCTCTTTTTGGTACACTTATAGCACTTCTGCACAATGGGAAGCCGGTACACTTGTTTTCTTTTTTTCATTTCTAGCTGCCTTTGTTTTCCTTGGTATTTCACTATTTCCTTCATTCTTTTTTGCCACAGCTGCACTGCATATGCAGATAGTTAATGCTTTATCAGTGTCGCAAAACATCATATTGTTATATCTATATAATGTCTCTGTTGGTTATATCAACAATATACTAACTTTACATGGCATTTTGATGAAACTTTTCTAAATCATTAGCTATTTAATCATGATATATAAAGGGCGTACCCAGTGCAGAGAGCTCCCACTTTGTGCGGGGTCTAGGGAAGGGTGTCAGTGGCAAGCCTTACCCTCGCCTGTGCAATGCGAGGAGACCACGACTCGAACCCGGGACCTTCCGGTCACAGGCGGTAAGACTCTACCGCTTGCACCAGGCCCGCCCTTCAAATCTCTTGATATATCTCGTTGAGAAAATTTCTTGACAAATCTCTTTGTGGGCATCTTTACTAATATACTTGATATTGCTATTTCTTTAGTTAAGCTTGATTTTTTACTTCCTTTCTCTAGGTTATTGGTGTCATTGACCAGCCAATCCTGAGAGAAAGATGGATTGGGGTGGATGGGAAACAAACAACTTTGAACGGACAAGAAATATCTGTTCGCTCTTGTAATTTACTTGCACAAGCTTACTTGTATGTATATTTGTTTTAGTATTTAGATGTTATGTGGTTACATCTCTTTACAGACTTGAATAATGCATTACAGTATAACAATTCTTTGTTCTGCTTTGACAGATATACAACAAGCCCACATCTCTTTGAAGGAGATGCTGAGGACGCATTTATTCGTGTAAGGAATAAGGTATGGGTGTTACATATACTCATATAGCTTCATGTTTTTCTGCAATCGTCAACACTACTCACATGTATTTTACCATCTCTATTGCCAGGTGAAAGTCCCACTTTATGGTTGTGATTGTTATGCTTATGCTCTTCTGGCCTCTGGTTTTGTGGACATTGTTGTTGAATCTGGTTTGAAGGTATGATGTCCATTTTTTTATTATGACTTAGGAATATGGCATTAGCCTTTTAAATTGTGTTCAGCAGAGGGTTTCTTGCTTTCTATCTTTTCTGGCAACAGAAAGGAAAGGACCATAAATAAACTGAAATCAAGCAAATAGAGTTGGTTTTGACTTCTAATTACTTGCTGAAGCATTTAGTTTACTATAAGTTTTGTTTGGATGGCCTCAGAAATTATGCATACATTGTGAAAGCTTAAGTCAGAAGGGCGGGCCTGGTGCAAGCCGTAGAGTCTTACCGCCTGTGACTGAAAGGTCCCGGGTTCGAGTCGCGGTCTCCTCGCATTGCACAGGCGAGGGTAAGGCTTGCCACTGACACCCTTCCCCAGACCCCGCACAGAGCGGGAGCTCTCTGCACTAGGTACACCCTTTTTTTATTGTGAAAGCTTAAGTCAGCTTAAGAACATTGAAACTGAAGTTCACTCAAAACTAGTGGGCACCGTAATTTCCAAAACTTTTCATTCATTATTTTCTAGATCGGTGTTTTAGCTGTACCAAATTGGTCGATCATGCTTTTGTAGCGAGCTTTAGTGTAGCAACTAGCAAGCATTAAAGTTCTCTTCCTCTTCATTTATTCTCATCTGTATATAATGGTGCTGGTATTTGGTTGGTACTACGGTAAGCATGGGGATGGCTATGCATTTATGTATCGTTTTGATGCTTGTAGATAACACCGTGCTGTTTCAACTTCTGAATCATTTAATACTTGAAATATCTGGTTAATCATTTGAAAATATATATGTGATATCATAGGGAAGTTATCTTCATGCATGGTAAAGAACAGAAGTTTAGAAAAAGTATTCTCTGAACTCAGATTTGATTTCACATGACTATATTCACTAGCAATGTTAGTGAAATGAAAAACTGTGATCATATATGTAATTAGAATGACAGCAGTCAATGTAGCATGCATTTACTGCCTGAATGAATGAAAGTTCTTTACTGCGATAACTGATTTTGTAGGTGGTTTGGTGCAGCCATACGATTTCCTCTCCCTGGTACCTGTCATTGAAGGAGCTGGAAGGTCAATAACTGATTGGAGAGGGGACAAGCTCCTTTGGCCTGTTACTGCAGAATCTCGGCCCACAAGTATAATCTTCACTTGTCATTAAAATTCATCAAGCTCTTTTTGCTGAAGTCTTTTCAATGTTGCATAAGCTCTAGAGTGGCCCCCTGGTTTCAGTAATTACATAGGATAATTATGCCAAACTGCATTATGGGAAAAACTTGCCCTATTGACACTTCAATCGTGCACTTCTTGCTTTTGATCAGCAAAATTTCAGTTCATCTCATTCTTCGCTATTGATTTATTTGTAGGTTTCAACGTGGTAGCAGCTGGGGATGCCCGTGTCCACAAACAGGCCCTTGATGCACTGCAGTGGCGCTAGCTTGCTGCTTAGTTAAGCCTTATACTAATACCCAACTATTTAGATATTTACATGTGCTATTTATATGACCAATAATAAGCTTTATCTCTGTATGCTTGTTGCTTGGCCTCAATCTTGCACTAATAATCCACAGCATGGTTGTAAACTATCAAGCAGTGGTTTGAACCAAGCAGAGATTATGGGGGTGTTTGGTTTGTAATATGAAGTTGTCCATCACCATCCCACTCTTTAGTTTTTTGTTTGGTCTGTAGAATAGAATGAGTTGATTCATCACCATCTCATTCCTCACAAGCTAGTAATTAGTACTAATTTGAGGAATGGACTCATTATGCATCATCTCATCTAAAACGGGTTGTTTTTCGAAACCAAACACTCCATAAGTGTCAGGGGAATGTCAAATGTGCGAGGTCTTACCTTAGTGTGAGCTTCCCTTGCACCCAGCAATTCAGCTGCGCGATGCAGTTCTGGGGGGCGCTTAATCGAGAGTTAGATTGGTGTTTGCTTCCATGGCATATCTGGGTGCTGCACACTAGCTGAATTGTGAGTTATGATTTCCAGCCTTGTCTGAATTCTGCGCCGAGAGGTGTATGGGGCCAGCCTGGGGTTTGGGGAATGACACTTTCTGGGTAATAGGCAGGGTATAAGGATGTATATGTCGCATATAAAGACTACGATAAGCCTCCTTTTTTTAATTATTAATGCATGCATGTATACGTATGGCCAATATGGTGATAATTATGCTGTTTCTAGTATAGTTTCTCTCTTCGATAATAGCTAGTCTTCGATAATAGCTAGACTAGTCTTTTTGTCTTCTCCCCGGTTTTACTCACGTATAGGACAATTGATGACGTAGACGCTAAAGTTAGAAGCCCTCAACAATCATAAAACCATGGTGAAAACTGGTACACCTAACGGCAGCAATCTTGCGTCCAGGTGGCAGGGGAATGCAGAGATCAGCACTACTGATAATTACTCACTTCGTCCCATAAAGAATATAAATCTTAAATTTTAAGGCTAGATTAGCAGACATGTGAAATTAGGCATGTACCCTTGCTATATTATTAACTACTCTAGAAAGTTCCATAGGAAGTAATCTTTGTCTCTAAAGAATTCTCCACAAGTTCAAAAAAATTTACATTATTCAGTGTCATGAGCCATGTGGTGTTTTTTTGGTTGTTTTTATTGGGTGGATCCCACTTGAAACAACTAATTACATACTTTTTGAGACAAGATTTGAATCTAGGATTACATTTTTTTGGGACGGAGGGAGTATATTGTTCGATCCACTCTCTCATTTCTAAAAAAATAAAATTCTAGTGTGTCTAGTCAATTTAAATTTATCAAATTTATATTAAAATATTAATATTTAGCATACTGAATAAATATTATTAGATCGTTATTAAGTATATTTTTATAGTATATTTTTTTTGGAGTTATAGACGTTGATACAATTTTATAAACTTAGTCAAACCTAAGTAATTTGATTCAGATCAAATCTAGAATTGTGTACTTTCTACTAGGACAGATGTAGTAGTAACTTCATTGACATTTGCAGCCAAAAGTTATACTATCAATTGTTGAAGATCAAACTAGCTAGAGGGAGTACACCATCATGCCTAGCAACACCTCTAACGCTCTCAACACGTACATATGGCGTACAAAGCAATACAATCTACATACACTGTGAAAGGATCAAGATGCCCAAGAGGAGAGGTCAATTGGGCTAATTCTAAATTTCTTACAATAGTTAAGCCCTACACTTAGTCCATTTCACCCCCTTGTGTCTAAAAGTGTTTCTATTATTCTACTCCATAAAAGTTTTGCACCGTAGGTTCAAATCCTATTATAGCATGATAATTCTAAGAATGTAAAGACATGAATTGAATTACTCAAATGTAAATGCTCAAAGTAAAGAGAGAGAGAGAGGAACACGACGATGTTTTTTCGAGGTGTCGGAGAGTCACCACTCCCCACTAGTCCTCGTTGGAGCACCTGCGCAAGGGTGGAGCTCCCCCTTGATCCGCGCAAGGATTAAGTGCTCTCCACGTGCTGATTCTTCAACACTCCATCGCGGTGAATCGCCCACAACCGCTCACAAGATAACTTGGGTCATCCACAAGCTTCACCGGATGATCACCAAGCTTTCAATTACCACCGAGTCGTCTAGGTGATGGCGATCACCAAGAGTAACAAGCATAAACTCTCACTTGACCATGACAAGCCTAATGAGAAAGGTGGATGCACACTTGCTACTCCCTATGCACTAATGAGGTCCTTAATCTTGGATTCTCAAATCTCAATCACCCCACTAGGCTCTTGCACTCCCTTGCACTCCAAAGGTATTTCTCAGCTGAACAAATGAGCAAGAAGGCTGAATTGGACGAGTAGGAGATGTATTTATACACCCTCATTCAAAACATGACCGTTACTGTCCAACTCAACACATTACGTGGTGACCGAATGCGCAAGTCAAGGTGATGGACGCGTCCGGTCAGTTCTCCACTGCAGCAGCACACCGGGCTGTCAGAGATGACCATTGGAGTGACCTGACGCTTAGCAGAGTTCGATCGGTCTTGACCGGACGCGTTAGGTCTGCAAATTTGCTCTCTGGACCCTTACTGATGTTGACCGGACTCCAGGTAGCGCGCGTCCGATCAGTTCCTACGCAACGTCCGATCCTGCTCGCTGAACCACCGCTGCTATAGTTGCGGGCCCCTACGCGTCTGATTCCTTTTTGGTTCAGCGTTCGGTCGATGCCTGAGGTTCTACTGCGTGTGCCACCACTGATCGGACCCGACGCCGCAGCGTCCGATCACACCTTCTTCAGCGTCCGGTCAGTACAATCAACACTCCATTCACTTCTAATTCAAAACCTTTGTGAATGAGTTTGTCTCCAATCGATCTTAGGGCAAACCTTGAGCTACTTAGTGCTAAGTTTGACAAGTGTGCATCACACCTAAACTATTAGACTCACCTAGGTCAAGCTACTAGTTCATACCCCCCTTAGTAGTACAGCCAAAGGAAAAATAAAGTCTTAAACTACTCTAAGTGTCTCTCCAACGTCAAATGACACTTAGAACTAGTATGTCCTTAACCTTGTCGTCCATCCTTTGAAAACCAAAATGATTTCCATCGACAGGGGCATGAAAACCATAATTTCCCAAACAATCATCATTACCATGACCTAACTCGAATTGCCTCTGCAAAACACACGTTAATCACAGTAATCTTGTGTCGTCATTAATCACCAAAACCCAACTAGGGGCCTAGATGCTTTCAATCTTCCCCTTTTTGGTGATTGATGACAACACCACCTCGAGAATGTGAATAAGAGATGGGTGAGGTTTTTAGCATGCTTGGTTCATATAAGCAATTGACAGTAAGATCAAAAGGGTTAGGAATGCTTAAACGAACCAAGCCAACATAATGTACACAAAAGATATAAAATAAGCATGAGTACGAAACATAATGCTCATTTGAAAACGAAGTATAACGCGGAAGCAAAGCAAATGAGCATAAACAAGTGACATGATATAAATATATCAAAGTAGAGAGCACATATGTCACATAAGTCTCACAATCACACATATAACACATATATTACAATGCATGAAAGTAAACGTGAATGCCTGAAGTATCACACACAAAAAATGAGTCCATCTCACACCCCCTAAGTCTAACATACTCGCTCCCTCTCTCCTTTTGGCATAAAGCACCAAAACCTAAGGGTTGGATGACGGGATAGGAGCAGATGAGTCGGGCGCTGAGGTACGGTGAGAGATCTAAAACTGAGTAGCATCATCATCTGACTATGGACTCAGAACTGTCAGACCGGCTGGAGCGAGCGAGCGGCTGACCCTCTAACTCTAAAACAGGAAGTGAAGCGGTCTGGGTCTGCTTCGCGGTCTCAGTAATTGGGTCGGCTAGCTGAGAAGTAGAAGCTGAAGATGTAGCCTAACCCTGTGGCTCTGAAGCTATCTCTGTAGGAAGTGGAGCCACAACAGCCTCTATCTCTGTCGCTGAAGCCTTAAGTGTAGGAGTGACTGTAGGAGGCGGCTTTAACGAAGCAACAGAAGATGGGAGAGTCTCAGTCATCCCGGTGACTTGAGCTACTGAAGTAGGAGCAAGAACTTGGTACTCTAGCAGTGTAGGCTGTCTTGTGAGCTCACTAAAGGTAGCACCCAAACTCCTAGAGACTGGAGTGTCTATCACTAGCACAGACTCTGACTAAGTAGGAGTGAAGCTCGTAACAATAGGAGTGAAGCACTGAGACACCTGCTCAGAAGGTGAGGCAAACTATGTAGCCGGCTGTCCCTGACTCTGAAGCCCACTGGGCTGTATAGCTGGAGTCATTAGGGTAGTAGTAACAGTTGAACCAAGCTACAACGTGGGCTGGTAAGGAGCAATCCTTGTAGATGTAAGGACTTGCTGCATGAAACCAAGGAACTACCGCTGAGTGTCTAGCTGCTGCTGCTGAATAGCCTGCTGCCGCTGCTGGAGCTAATCCTAATGTGCCTGCATCTGAGCAATAGCAGCTGCAGTATCCTATGCCTACTGTGCTTGGTCCTGCTGCATCCTCTCAAGTATAGCAATCAAAACAGGGCCGGTCTGAGGCGGCTGTGGTGGAGCTAAACTGGAACCATCGGCCTCTCTATCGTGTGCACGTGGTGGCATATGCAGGATAGGCTGGTAGTCCTCATCTGAGCTGTCAGTCGGGTTGCTCTCGACCATGTCCTCCTGCTATGCCTCTAGCTGCTCTAGCTCGGTGTCTGCAATGGCCCTGATGTCCTCATCTTGCAGCTATTGTCTTTGGCATCTATGGTTTGTGGCTCAGCTCGCTAGGAGTCCTCCCACGACTATGATGCAATAGCTGGCTCATGTCGTACTTAGGAATCTCTGTAGCAACACCACTCCACTCAGCCACTGTCTCTAGGGACATCTGTGAAACAACCTTCCAAATAAGGAAAGTAATCTAGTGAGCATATGACAAGCTGGCGATG